CGGAAGTTCATTTCCAAACTTCCGGTTAGCCCGTTGGGCCTGTTTTTCACACTCCCCAGGCTCTGGAGGCTTTCCTGAAACCTAGGAAGGGCAAAAATGCCCCCCAGACTCCCCCTCGGAGGCTGGGGGAGGCGTTTTTGCCCTCTGCAGGCTTCAGGAAAGCCTCTGGAGATAAGGGAGGGTGAAATTTTCCCCTTGCATGGAGGTTGCTCGTGCATGTGCAGATGGTGGGCACGCGTAGACACACACAGTTTTGGCACACCTTTAGAAAAAGGTTAGCCATCACTGCCCTAATGCTATGAATTACCTACTATACTACTTTTGGAAAAATTAACACCATTACTTCATTACGTGCATTTTAATGATGCCCAATCCTCATTGTTGCTATTTTAATTCACGGTTTTCAAGAATCCATACTTTAAATCAATAAACAGAGACGTATCTACTTTAACTACTGATAAAAAAAAATTTAGGCTAAGCTACACAAATAAGCATAATTACATTTCTACAATGAAAACAGAGGGTTCAATACATACCTTCAATAATTTAGCTCCAGGGATTTCTGGAACTATTTCTTCTGAAAATGAAAGATTTTGTTCCGCGAAAAAGCCCTTCAATGCATTTTCACTAATTTCCACACCAACCACATGGTGTCCCATGTCAGCTAACCTATATAGAACAATAAAACATGCTATGTTTGCTCATGTGTTACTGAGGTGTTGTTGTTATTTTTTTACAATAAAAGAAGACGGATCAAAGTCCTCTTTGTGTTAGTGGGCAACTGCATATTATAACTATCAGGATATTGTCTGTGGAAAGTCCTATTATTTGTAAAGCAAATAAAACTTTGGACTGAAGAAACTGAAGCACAATGCAATACAAATGGTAAGAAGCAGCACTGAATTGTCCTACTTTCTTCTCTGCTTTTTTTGTAAGGCTTTTTAATCTGCTAAATATCATGGGGATTTTTTTCCCATTGTTAAAAGCATAGGGTGCCTTCCTCCCCATTTCCCCCCCAATAGTGATGTAGTAAAATTGGAATATGAATATGTAGACGCGTGAAGGAGTGTACAGCATCTGCTTTGAATGTAAAACTGGTCCAGATATTAACTTACATTTTAAAAGTTTATTTCCACGTTGATTAAATTCATTCAGATGATGAATTCTTATAAAGGGGGGAACATTTGATGAAACATGGCATCATAAACCATCAGTGCACTGAGGTAATTAAGAGCCGAGGTGGCGCAGTGGTTAGAGTGCAGTACTGCAGCACCACTTCAACTGACTGCTATCTGCAGTTCAGCGGTTCAAATCTCACCGGCTCAAGGTTGACTCAGCCTTCCATCCTTCCGAGGTGGGTAAAATGAGGACCCNTGAGGTTGGCAGGCTGGATTGCTGCCAAGCCTTATCTGTGTTTATTGCTGCCCAAGTTTGTCTGTGCCGGGTTGCTGCCAAGGACCTGTTTGTCTGTTAATTAAATGCTGTAATTTATCTCTGGCTTGGGGTATGCTTTGGTGTGGAATTAGGGGGGTCAGAACAACTTTCTATTTCAAAGACCTCAATTTAGTGGACTTTGCAAGCGAGGGAAATGTTTCATTACACTGAATGTTTTGTCTATTAAATTTAGATTTTTTGTGTACAAATGATGCCACTTACGTTGATTATGCAAATAATGTAGGTTGACACAAATGCCCCTCACTTTAGATTTATCAGACATTTGGAGGTAACAGCAGCCCCTTCCCCAAATACCATATTAAGATACTGGTTCGGGGCATAGTTGACATGGCTCTGTTCCCTCCTAGTCTGTGACAATAAGCACTTTCATTCCTGAAGAGGGCAAGTGCCTCTCTAAAGCACATTTGGGCTTTTTTTTTCATTGACTCACCAAATAAACTTTTCACGTCTGAATCAGCAACATAGAATGGTGGGCCTACAACAGAAAAGATGAAGTTAGGAATCCAGAAGTTAAAGAAAACCCAGTCAAAGCCCTAAGTGTACATTTTTAAGAAATGAGAATTCAGGGATTTATTTAGCTTAATGTCAATTCAGTCTGTAAGAGTCAATTTCTATTTCGAAAAATAGATGAATGGCAGTAGAAATGTGAGGGGGGGAAAAGGGCAGTACCTTGAGAAACTTTATGCAAATGCTTGCTCTTAAATCTGAAACGGCACTCCTAGTTTTAGTTCTGAACTGAATGTAATAAAATTATTTCAGATTCCTAGAATATTGAATAGTATATTTTAAAAAAATTAAATTGCCATTGCCATACCCTGGAGAATCATGAATATTTTGATTCTTCATATTATATTCTTATACATTAATGATCTGGTTTGTTTTAATCATTTTTGTTTTGCACTAAATCATGTCTTTAAAACAAAATTAGCATGGTTGCCTAGTTTAAAAGCTGGTTTAAACTGAGTGCTTATGCACTAAAGACAAATTCCTTTTGTGTCCATTCACACTTGCCAAATAATGAATTCTATTCTATTCTATTCTATTCTATTGCCATGAAAAATACGCAAATCGCTGAACAAATAGAGTAAAGGTAGTGGAAAGGATTAGAAAGGTTTTCAGGCCAACATTCACTGAGGGCCCCTATCTCTTTAGACTTGCTAAGTCTCCCTTCTAATCATACTTGACCAGTGTTTCTCAAACTGGGCTACTTTACGATGGGTGGACTTCAACTCCCAGAATTCCCCTTGCTGGCTGGGGAATTCTGGGAGTTGAAGTCCACCCATTTTAAAGTCACCAAAGTTTATAAACACTGTGCCAAACCAATCCCATACTAATCTCTAATCTTAAAACCTTGCTTCCAATTACAAAGGATGTAGGGTTTTCCCAATATCTAGCTGAGACTTTAATCCCAATGTTTTACCTTTGTGTTTCCTTGGATCATACAACAAAGTAACTAGAAGGCAGCGACACATTCTGTTCATTAGTGATAGTATCAACTGAGCATAGCTAAAAGGAAAAGACAAGAAACACATACTGGGGAAAACTGATATTTTATTACAAAGAAGGAATTGAAAATGCAGAAGATGAGAAAAGTTGGATTCACACGACATGATGAGCTGTAATTCTTGAATCCTTTTAAGTCACAATTGATGCAGACAATTGCCTTGCTAACCACACTAAAGCACAACTGACTTACTGAAAAGGTTTGTTTGCTATAATTATGCCAAGCCAAAACTATGCTGCAGCTTAGCATGGTGTGAAACAACACAGCTGCTACAGCTTCCTTTTCCTAAGAGCTGAAGGACATGTATACCAAGTGTCCAATTTTTTCCCCACAACATTAATACACATTGTGGCACATTTGAGGCACATTCTACCTGAGAGACCGTCTCCTGCCATTTACCTCCCAGAGACCTATAAGATCGCACAGACTAGGCCTCCTCCGGATTCCATCTGCCGGTCAATGTCGGCTGGCGACTCCCTGGGGGAGGGCCTTCTCTGTAGCTGCTCCGGCCCTATGGAACGATCTCCCTGTGGAGATCCGGACCCTTACTACTCTTCCGGCCTTCCGCAAAGCGGCCTGTTCCGGCAGGCCTGGGGTTGTTGACTTCATCCAGCCCCATCCTAAGTTATGAATGCTGTGGATCTTTTAATGTTGTTTTGTTTTTGTATGTCCTCCCTTTCCCTTTTTTACTTGTAAGCCACCCTGAGTCTCTTGAGATACAAATTAATTAATTAATTAATTAATTAA